CACGTGGGTATTGAAAATATAGATATATAGATAGCTTATTTTCGTGCTGGATCATGTTACATGATATATGACTTGTCAATACGAAGGCGAGGGTCATATATGCATTTGAGCAAATATGCCGGAAAAATACGTAGAAATACAAAATAAATAAGGACATTACAATTACAAAAAAGTGTATAACATTTCAACACGTTAAATAACAGTATAGGTACAGCGTAATAATCTAAATGTGTTCAATCTGTAACGGTAAAAATATATACATATACAGCGAGTTTTATCACGACAAATGTTCGTCTAGCCTCTAGCGGTTAAAGCTCATTGAAGCTTACATAAAAGCGGTTAGGAGAATCTTGTAGAATTACATATACATATAAACACAATAAACATGGAGTTATGAGGATAAATGGTTAAAAGCTTAAAAAGGAATAATCTCTACTTGCGTTAAAACTCGAAATGAAAACTGAAATTAAAATACATTGCAGATACACAGCACATATACTGCACGATAATAGACAATTCACTGACAGCATAGCGATTAACAGCTTAAAAGAACAAAAAAACAGACTTTCATATATGTTAAAAAACTCATGTAAAGAGTAAGAGCATTTTTCAACCAGATATTTCTTGAGATGGTCCTTTAGTGCAAGGATGTTAGTGCTTCTCCGCAACTCGCTCGGCAACTTGTTGTATATCTTAGTGCAAGCTAGTGTAGGATATTCTTGGAATAGGGCAGAGTTATGTGTCAGTATACTCAGATTATGCCGTGTTCTAGTATTGTATTGACTATTAATGGCGTTGTTACGAATAAATCTAATGCTGTGTTCAAATGCGAAGATGGCGCATTTGTAGATAAAGATGGATGTTAATGTAAGCAGATTATAGCGTCTAAATGTTTCTTCACAAGAGTCCCTCTTGTTAATATTAAAAATTGATCGAACTACTCTTTTCTGCAGTATGAATAATCTGTCAATCATTGTTGCCTATCCCCATATGATTATATTGTTAGTGGGGTGAGAATAGACTAGCGCGTGATACATATCTGAGAGTGAGTTTTGATGTATGTTGGGCGCTCTAATTGCAAGACTGCAAAATAAGCACTGTTTTTTATTGCAAATGCTATTTATCTGTGGTTGCCAGCTTAACTTAGTATCAACATGAGTTCCTAAGAAGACCGTTTGATGTGACAAACTAGCAATATCCATACGTGGTTTCTTGTTGAAGAAAGGAACTTGTACAATTTTATCTCCATTCAGGATGAGGCGATTCATGACACCACTCGCTCAATTCTCTTTTGACCTTCTCGATGGATTCGAGAAGATGGTGCGGTGTCGTGGCACTGACGACGACAGATGTGTCGTCCGCATAGTTAATCATAAAGCCAGACAACTTCAAGTCATTTATATATATAATGAGGAGGAGTGGTACCAGTACGGAGCCTTGTGTCGCACCTACAGTCACGAAATATAGAGCTGACGTACGTCCATTGACCTTTGTTTTCAACTTTCTGTCTTTGGGAAAAGACTGGATCCAGCTGAGGATAAAACCTCTTATACCTAAGCAGTACAATTTTTCCACGATAAACGTAATATCCATTATGTCGAATGCCTTTGACATGCCAAAAGATAGTCCAGCAAGATGTCTAGTTTCATCTACTTCTCTATACATATATGGGAGAAGAAGTCAAAGGTCGCCGTTTCTATAGATCATGAGATTCTAAACCCTTGCTGGGTATCTGATAACACATTATAGCGATTGAGAAAGCCTTAAGTAGATACGCTTATAGAGATATGTGTCAATTACTTTAAAGACTTTCGATAAAAGTGATAAAGGCCTGTAGTTTTCAACGTCTGTACGGTCACCTTTTTTGAATACGGGAATAACAATAGCCAGTTTCCAGCACTTCGGGAATTTACCTTGTTTCACGGATTTATTAATAAGCACTGACGAGGAGAGCGATATCTCACGTTTCAAACTTTATTACTTGCGTTGAGTCCATCATTTCCACTGCCACTTTTGTTTGGAAAGCTGCTGATTACTTCCACGATCTCTTCATTGGTGACATCCTCCTGGAACATTCATGATGCTGCGAGGTTTTCTGGTGGACATAATGCTGGGCCGTCACATCCAAAGTGTTCCGTTAACTTGCTCTCTGATATGGTGGAAAAATACTTGCCGAATTTGTCGAGAGTATCAGTTAGCTCTTTGTCCTCATCTTTTAGCACTATTTTCTGCTTCTTCTTTACTCTTCCGGTTTCTTCATTTCTTTTTATGCATTTATTTGGCAACATCCAACAGCCACAGCCAATTACAGGATGGATAAACATGAAAATATAAACAAATGCGTGTAGTGGATGTATGTAGAGAAAGATAAAACGCTGCAAGAAAACCTCAAAACAGAACTGCGAGGAGAAAAAACGTTGTAGCTTTACCTACCCAGCACTCAACAATCACACCGGCAAGCATTAATGAAAATAAGCATTAATGTCTCCCAAAGTCGCACAAATCGAAAATATATCTAAAACGCTATTAACTGAATTATAATTACGGCACATTATATAGATAGGGGAAAACTTAAGTATATCAGTCCTAGGCCTGGCTAAGTAAAAAGTTAAACTAGTTGGTGACGCAAATCTAGGAATTAAGAAGATAAGTTGTTCTAAGATGACACTGGAGTCAATAATGACATGGATGAGCTTGTGAGTGAACTTAAGTGAATTGTTTTTGCGTCTGCTCTCTAAATTATAGATTTTGTGTCTCACCATCAACTCACTATGAGAAAAGCCAATAGCAGGATACATCCCGTCAGCTTTGTATGAGATTTATTTTAAAAACTTTCTTTGTACGGACACTAAGCGGTCAATATGTATTTGATGATGAGGATAGATCTTACATAAGCATAGTACAGTATTTTCAGTGTAAGGGAGTTGTGGAAATAACCAGTATTTCTTACAATAAAACCATACGCCTTTGATGCAGCCACAACAGCATTTTCGATGTGATAGGAGAAGGAAATTTTTCTGTCAAGTGTGACACCCAAGTCATTAATTGTATTAGGTCTGTCAAGTTTCCTGTCACGAATACTATATTCATACATCATTAACCCAGTTTTTAAAGTAAACGACAAAACGTGACACTTAGCAGCATTAAAAACCAGTCTGTTTTCACGACACCAGTTGTCAACCCTTACAATGTTGCATTGCAAGCGATGACAATCGTCAGTGTTAGATACTCTACAGAAAAGTTTCATATCGCCAGCATATATAAGAATATCGACATCGATAACTTCAGAAATATCATTAAAGAACATAATAAATGACAGAGGTCCCAAATTAGATCCTTGAGGAACACCGGACATTACAGGGTATTCGCTTGACTTATATCCATTGCACATAACATACTCTTTCCAATGAAATAAATAAGATCTGAAAAATAGCAACAATGCATCTGAAAGGCCAAATCTAGATAACTTATTGAGTAGTTTTTTATGATCTAAACTATCAAACGCTTTAGAGAAATCAGTATATATTACATCCGTTTGAAGTTGTATATTGAATACCGCACAGTTTGTATCGCTATTTCGAATGTTTTAGCGAAATTGCTGATAACTGTGATAGCCCGATAAGTGATTCTTTTTCAGAGAGAGATTGAAAATGATCATGGGTGGATATGCTAGAATGAACACACAATCTCTCACAAAAAATGCAGGTATTTGATCAGGACCTGCAGTTATTTTTGGCTTAATTTTCTTGAGCGCCTGTAGCACATTGATTTCCTGTACACTATGCATAGCTAGTGTAGTAGTGAAATGGTCGTCAGTAGAAAAATCAGATTGCGCTGTTGGAGTATTATAGCTCCCACTAAAGTGTTCCGCAAATGTGCCAACTACATCATTAGGTGTATTCAACCCCAGCCCATTGAACAGCATAATCCTTCGGAATACCAGTGCAGTTTATTTTTCTATCAACAGAAGACCAGAATTTGCCGGAGCTGTTGGATATTTCACACTCTAAAGAGTGAATGTAGCGACGATATGAAACAGCTACATATTCCTTTATCTCTGAGCGAAGTCTTATGAATTTTTCTATATAATAAGTAGCACCAGTTCGTCTGAAAGTCTTGAATGCCTCCATTTTTTGTTTGAGGGTTCTAATGATATGGCTGTTGTACCAAGGAGGATACCTATTATTATAAGATATTCTAACTTTAGGAACACAACAATCAAGAATTCTATAGATCTCAGAATAGAAATATTCACAAGCTAAATCCTCGTCACTATAATATTTCAAATCGCCCCAGCTAATATTCACAATCATTTCATAGAGCAGCTTTCCTAAAATTATATGAACCTTTAAAGTCGCTATGCAACACGCGCGTTATTATGTTTGGTGGAAGGAAAATGACTCACAGTGATAATCAATGCAGGATGATGGGGATCCACACACACTAGAGCATCATCAACATGTTCAACATAGCAAATATCATTGCTCCAAATTAAATCTAGCAACTTTCCATTTCCATCTTGCTAAACCATTTAAAGTGTTTATGTAACTATTTGAGATACTATTTTCAAGATAATCAGCATATGATGTTATATTAAAGTCCCCAAAAATGCAAATACTGCCAATATGTAGAAACGCTAGACTATGTATTGCCTACTTCCCATATTTTGTTAGTTCTTTTATTGATCGATGTTATTAGACTATTTTAATACCATTTTTTCGTTGAAGAAATTAGCTTTTTGTGTTTTTTTTCTTGTTGATGTACTGCTGTTTTATATGTTCATTGTCTACATGCCTTTTTAGTAAGTTGTGCAGTTTTCTTAGATCTTGTCTGGGTTGCAGTGATATATTTTGCGTCACCCACGGCTTACATTTCTGCTTGTTATGTCGTGTTTCATGATTCTGGGAACATTTCAAATAAAAAATATCTCTATCATTCTGTTTTAGGGACAAATGTACGAGAGAATATAGGATGTATGACATACATGTATGTCTATTATAGGGGCCTACAGACACACGAACATGTATTAAGACATGAACGCACGGCGATGTTTGCGCAGTGATACCCGTCGATCTACTTTTAGCTCCACACATAGAGACTTGTGTGTCAGTTTTCTCCACGTCGATGTTGTAGTTTGTCGCCATGTCTAGCGATGATGAGTTAAACTTACTAGCAGTGGCGTGCGTTTGTATTGTGAAAAAAAGAAAACATCAATTGAAAAAAAAGAGGTCAGCCACGAAGAAAATGGGTTAAAGATTGGCTTTTGAAGCGGGATCAATATTCTCACATCAATTTACTTGAAGAGCTACGATTAGAACCTGATGATTGGCGAAACTACCTCCGGATGGATGAAGATAGTTATATAAAACTCCTAGAGAGGGTTTCGCCACTTATTGAAAAACAGAACACACCGATGAGACCCGCTATATCGGTACATGAAAGACTGTCGGCCACATTGAGGTATTTGGCCACTGGGAGGAATTATGAAGATTTAAAATTTTCTACCCTGATTTCTCCACAGTCATTGTGCAACATAATTCCAGAGACATGCAGCGCTATTTATGAAGTACTGAAGAAAGACTATATGAAGGTGGGTACAGAGTATATTACTTAGTAGTAAAATAAACAAAATAAACACAAACACAAACTCTCAAGTATTCTATTTTTATATATACAACGCTAATCTAACGGAACTCTTATATGTAAATATAAACTGGACATTAAATGTTAGCTTCACTTAGAGGATTATACGATCCAAAATAAGTTGAAACTGTGGAGCTACCCTCGTTGATTTGTTGAGGATGGCTTTGATGGCACTGGGGCTTAAGTGGCATAGCTGGTAGCAAATAAGTTTGAGCTTGATTTTGTGTGCCTGATATATTTATAGGTTGAGTTGAATTGTAGTTATATTGATTAGGGTAGCAAGCATCAACAACGCTATTACTGGAAAAATTGTTTTGATTCTGTTCATTGTCTCCTGACGAAACAATCCTAGTATTTCTGGACACGTTACCCATTTCAGCCTCAAACAGCAGATCATTTATGAGTTTCTCAGTGTATAATCTGGTTTCTTTTGGGAGTCCTTTCAAAAATGGCGAATTGATCGTCATTCTTGGAACGTAGTCTTTCTCCTACCGCCGCCAACACGTTGTCTGCTTCTTGGTTATCAGAGTTTGTCTTGCGTTTATTTTTTCCCCGATTTCCAGCTGCAGGCAGCGATACAATGTTTTCTGGATTGGAAATTGGACGTACATTTTGACTACTACAAGGTCTGGATATTGGTGGACTTGGTACTGAGCTCAGCTCACTCTCTTGACTTTCATTTACATCATATCTAGTTTTATGCAAAAAAATATATATTTTTGATTTTTTTCAGTTCCCAACGACCGAGAATGAATGGAGAAATATTGCAGACGACTTCGAAAAGAGATGCAACTGTCCGAACTGCCTGGGGGCGGTAGATGGAAAACATGTCAATATAAAACCGCCCACCGGAAGTGGTTCATATTTTTATAACTATAAAGGGGCATACAGCCTAGTGCTCTTGGCAGTGGTCAACGCAAATTACGAGTTCATTATGTGTGATTTCGGGATCAACAGCCGCATATCTGATGGAGGAGTTATTGAGTACAGCCAGTTTTACCGGAAGCTTAAAGATAGGAAACTCTCCATACCACCTCCAACAAGAACAATGAACAGTAAAGAAGCATTGCCATTTGTTTTTATAAGTGATGAAGCGTTTGCACTCCGCTGTGATTTCTTGAAACCATTTAGCCAGAGAGACTGGGATCATGATAAGAAAATTTTCAATTATCGTCTCTCAAGGGCAAGGATGTAGAGTAGAGAATGCTTTCGGTATACTCCCTGCTCGATTTAGAATATGCCACACAGCTATATCTATTAACTTAAAAGCAATTGACAAAGTAGTGATGGCATGTTGTGTTCTGCATAATTTTCTGAGAAGAAGAACTGCCACTGTGTATGCACCTGATAACAACTTATACAGGGAGAACCATGAAGATGGCACTGTTGAATTAGGCTTGCAACCCAATCAGATGACTAGTTTGCAACGGGGTAACAATAGAAGAGCAAACAAGGATGCACAAGAAGTTAGACAGTTATTTCTGAACTACTTTAATAATGAGGGATCCGTAGCTTGGCAGGAAAGAATGATTTGCTAATTTATGTATTATACCTTCTAAGTACTTAAGTTGAAGTAAAGCGAATCAAAATATCAAGACGATTTTTTATTACCCTCTATATTAATATGTGTACTACTTCATTATTTCTTACATGAAATCAAAAAATGGCATCAAGTAGGTTGACTCCGCACTTCCCACGCATTGATTTTATCGGTTCAAGCATATCCATGTTTTTTATATATATGTGTTATATATTATATACCATCCATAAAATATAATACCTCATTTTCGAAATTATTCGCGATTTGGTTAGGTGGAAGAGCGCGGATTGACAGCTAATGGTTGTCAATCAAGCGAACCTTGCCGTTTGCTCACTGCATCAGATTTATGTACTTTTTCTGTACTTACATGAGCAATAAAAGCAATTTATTATTATTATTATTATTATTATTATTATTATTATTATTATTATTATTACAATACTTCCTCTTTTCCTCTCCAGTTGGCGTGGGAAGTAAAAGTCAAATAAATAAATCAGGCCTTACCTCCAGTTCTAGAGCGTCTTCATTTTCCATTTCTGAATGGCAACTGTCCATTTCACTGTCGCTTCCAACATCTTCAATATTACTAATGGATTGTCTAGGGATTTCCTGATCCTTTATAAATAAAAGTAGATCATAATACCATAAATGTGGTATATAAACATCATCTGCTGCAGCACCCGATCTTCTCGACTCTTTAATTTTTCTTAGTGCTCTCCGAAAACTAGCTCGGAGGCTATTAATTTTAGTTTTAACCATTTCTTTGTTGTCATTTTTCTCAACTTCTTGGAGCTTCAGCACCAACACTTTATATGCTTCGTTTTTTTTATTGCGATCCATATAGTCTTTTGATTTTACTCGCCACAAACATGGATAGGATTTGTATAGTTCTATGAACTCTGTTATAAACTCTTTGGAAAAACTTCTCAAATCTGCCATATTGACAAATTCAAAACTAAATGAACTTCTAAGTTGACCCCCCTGCTCCTAACAACAGAATACACGAATGCAGTCGCGCCACTGAATTAAGTCTGTGAAAATTAGTACGTTTTGTCTACACACAGGCATACATACACGCGCGTACAAGTCTGTGCAGGCATAAATTCAAGCGAAAACAGAAAGCATGTGCGTCGGTCTTTTAACTAGAGATTTGTCTACACACTGGCGAACATCAACGCGCAAACGTCGACGTGCGTTCATGTCTTAATACATGTTCGTGTGTCTGTAGGCCCCTTAAATAGGTGCGTAGATTTACCGAGGAAGTGTATAAATTGCTAGCACCAACAAATTGACAAATACATACTCCACCCCCGCCCCCCAGCTTCTACAACCCCGACATCGAATTTTTAACCATTGCAAACATTTTGCTATAAATGGTTTGAATCCTTGGAGGCGTCAAAAAAGCTTGAGCGATGTCTATTTTCTTTTTCGATTTTTGCTTTCAAAAACTACAAGGCTTTTGGTCTTTGGGGTAGTAGTAACCTTGTGTGAAAATTTCATTGAAATCAGAGCGGTACTTCACAAGTTATTAGTGGGCCAAGGATTAACGGACTGACAAACCGATGGAAATGAGTGACACGCTTTTTTTGAGATCTATTTTAGTTATATCACGTTCAATAAACATGATATCTCATTTTCGTTTTTGCAATTACAATACTTCCTCTCCAGCGGCGTCGGTTGAACGATGCAGCTGATGATATTCATATTTCGTGGAAAACATTGAAATATACGTTGGTAAAAATGAATAAGGGTCACACCTGTATGCATCAGCCTTTTTCATACAAATATTGCAAATTTTTTAAGCCTCTCCTGACAAAACTTGTACACCACACTCTATTTAAAACAAATACGAATCAATTGCACTTTCCAACGTGGCGATTCAACCGTAGGCTGATGTGGTTCATTCATCCGTAATATCCTCGCTTAGTGGGCAATCGTTTGTTTTTGATTGGGACAGTCATTCCCACACATCCCACTAATTCATTCTAACAATTCCGGCCATTCTGTTATATCGTAATGTTATGAACACCGCACATGCCGGATTGCGGCCCTGATTAGCTCTCCATGGAGGCGTCATCACCACTCTTCAGGCTGTGGTTGAATTACGGGAGAGAATGCGTAATAGTTATTGTGATTGAAAATTAGTGATACGCAGAGGTGCATTCCGCATAGCTAGTTTTGGATAAACCTATTAGACTTTGATCACATTACTACTACTACGATCATTTTGGAAAAAAGCTGATGCTCATATTTATAAAGAGGAGAAGTATAAACTATATAAAGAATATGCAACCGATCAACTGAAGCAAGAATATTTAAAGTAAAAGAGTAACTTATCTATTTTGGTCAAAAAAGGTAAGCAGGGCTAAAAAATTTGTTCAGAATAAAAATAATTCAAAAGCCATGTGGGAAACAGTAAAAAAAAATGTTCCTTTCCGAAAAACCGACTAATAATATACGTAAAATCAATATTGGTGATGAGACATTGGATACCGTCTTATACATAGCAAATGTGTTTAGTGACATCTGAGATGTTTTAACAAATCAGTAGATTGTTGGTTAGGTAATACTTTTATATTTCTGTTTTTTCGATATAGATATAGGCTCTTAAAAATAAAAAAAAAATGTTAACGCCCTTGTATAATTCAATAGCTTTCACTATAAATATTCACCTTAATATAGGTAAAAATGTGCTAGCAGGGCAATGATAAGGTGAAAATGTTCCACCTCAATATGTATTTATATTCCTCCACGCACAAGCATTTGCTTTTTGTGGTGTTCTGTATGTTTATTGCGAAATATGCTTTTCTCTGTTGCTCCTAAATTGTATTTTTTCTTCAATAAACATTACTAGTATCATTATTATTACTATTATGTAGATTTAGATGCAAACTAGAAATCTTGAAGTTGCAGCCATAACGCCATTTAAATTCAGAAGGCCAACAGGTAAGTTTGTTCTGTGCTCAGATCCAGCTCTTGAAAATCATTTAATAATGGAAAACTACGAGTACTTACAACACTGAAATCCCGTTTCAGGCCAAGCAATTTCAAAACGGAGAAAAAACATCAGCAAACAAACATGAAAACAACAACTTGACTGTTCACGCTATGTAAAACTGGCCATTTTTAAGATCCGTTAAAAGTTTTTTCAACTTATTGAAGTAAAATCTATACTAATCGGTGGATGAGTTATTAAGTCAAATATGGTGGTTGTTCAAGCCAGCAGAAAAACGTGATACAGTTACATATTGTATATTGTAATTTTAGGGAAGGATCAAGAAAAAAGAGAGCGTATGACCACACGGTGAGGTTCAAATTTAGCTGACGTCGTAATGTGTACGAGAGAGAAGCGTGAAAAGCGTGCAATATGTATTTTAGAAAGAGTGCTCTGATGGTCCTCGGGTTACTATGCAACGAGGTGCTTCTATCTCTTTCTAACACATTACGACGTCAGAGGTATTTGAGTTTCAGTGTATAAAATGTTGTCAAATAAACAAAATGCGCAGCCAAGGTCGCCCTGCACATCGTTCGGATGTAGATTTAGCTTTGCTCGTTCTGAATTTTTACTTTGCTATCACGTATATTACATATGTATATACTGAGAAGATGTTTTTTTTGATCATCTCATTTCTGACCTTATTTTGCGATGAAAATATCTATATGCCAAACTAGAGAAAATTTCATACCGTTCATGTATTAAGCATTTTTCTATAACCAGCAGAGACACCATGCCGAAGTGGCAAAATTCACTATAACAGGAATTTACGGGAAATCGTTCATTGGGCTCAATTATTTGGTTTATCAGAAACGTTTTAAAATTTACTACCTTTTACCGCATAAGCAAAAACCTAAATACTGCAACTGCTATAAGGAGCTCGAAGTATTTCCAATTTTTTGAATTGCTCAAGGTTAACAGAAATGGGTTAAGTCTACCCAGGCACAATCTTGAACCACTAAGAACAAAGCAATGGTCGTAACGGCCAACTTTGGATGTACGAAGTTCGACAGAGTTGGGATAGGAGGCAGACGTCCAGCGGGTTTATCTAGCAAGCTCAACGCGCTGCGGCTTTACGGAAGAAAGGTCTGAGGAGCAAAAGCCATTTATATGGAGGTAGAAGAGTCCAAAATCGCCCGCCAAAACACCCCGCCTGTAAAGTATGATCGATCAGTCTGCTTGTACATATTCAACGCATCTTTCCGAATTTTTACTTGGTTTCTTAGTATCACGCGGCCATGTATTAGGCGCTCCTACGCCAGTACCATTTTAACTTACAAAAGGGATTACTGCACCGGTTCTAGGAATTTTTCTGTAGTTGTGTCTATCGTAGATCTGTTATCCTCGGAAAACGACTGGATATATTCACGTTTTGAAAACGTAATGCCATTCTTACAATATCGCTGCACAAGCAGTAAATCGTTGAATGCAAACATTTACTTATCATTGTAGAAAACAATCACACATAATATAACATTTGACTAATAAATGAATAAGCCACAAAAGGCAAAGCTTTGAGCATGGTCTAAATAAATAACGTCTACCCTTGTGATATGCCGCATAGACGGAACAGGGAGTACAGTAAAAATGAAATATGTGTAGTTGTATATACCTTTTCAATGTAATTCAAAACAACAGAAGGAGAAGATACGAGCTAAACGATTGTTAAAACTTTCCCAAACTGTTCTAGGTAAAACTATTAATTCATTGAGCCTTCCATATATTCCTATACAATTTTTCTTCGATCGTATGTTGAAACCCTTCATCATACAAAACAAAAATGCAAAATACAACAACTGCAGGAAATTTTGTCTAGTTTAATTGGTGGTGTCGAGCTTTTCTTACTGTAGGAGACGAAACAAAGATATTTGAAAAATCCATCATTTTCCAATATGTTGGCGTAAGTAAAGTAGGAAGCAGGTATCAAAGCGAGGATTCTTTATGAATACATGGAAATATATAAGGATATCGACTTATTAAACCTTTAACAGAACTTCCCATGTGAAGCAACTATC